AAACTCAGATTCTTCAGAACTTGTGAGGGGTGCTACTTTACTTGTTATTTCTTTCTTGCATTCCCAAGATCAGTTCACCTTTAAACTGTCATCTCACTTGTTATCCAGACGAGGGTGCAATAAATCTCCACTGTTTTTTTGTCTACCTGGCTGTGATCGGAACTGGGGCTAGAAGGCACCGTCTAGTTGGTACAGAGGAATGGGCAATGGCAGACACTTGGGACAGGTTTGGGGGTGTCTGGCCTTTGGCTTAACCCCCGACCTCATGGCATCAAGAAAAGGTGGCTAAGTTTTGAGGTGAAGATGCCAGCGAGGTGTCCTGTGGCTGCCTGAGGAGGGTGTAGCTCACTGGAGAAGGAAAATAGTGAGAAGGAACGCCTCCTCGGGAGAGCAGCAAGACTCCCAAGGAAAACAAGGTCCAGTTGGTGCTTCTGGAAGCTTTTCTTCTTGAATGAACCACAATGCAAAGTGTAGCAGTTTTAGTCACAGTCCTGGGTAGGAAAGCAATTCTTCCTACACACATCAATTCCCATAAAAAGAGAAGTCGGTCACACCTACTGTTTTATCATGGAAAAAAATGTATGGTCTCTAAGTTTGCGTTGAGATTGAATGTTAAAGTTATGTCTTCTTTGCCTCTTGGAGATGGCTTTTACCTTGTAAAAGGTTCTAATGGGCTTCTGGTAGCAATGGGCCTATCTCCCATTATGGATGTCTGTTGCAAATGGCTTTTTTAACCTCTGCTGCTTTATTTTATTCTCTTTTGATCTTGCAGAGCGGATCGCATAAGGAATCTGAACCAAACAAAGTTCCACCCCAGCGACCACCTCCTCAAGGTTGTTTACAGTACATTCTCGATTGTAATGGCGTTGCAGTAGGACCAAAACAAGTCCAGGCTACTTAAATGGTTGAGATTAAAAGCAAGGGTTAAAGCCAAAAATGGGGAGGGAGAAGAGGAGAGGAAATCAAACAATACCAGTTTTTGTGCAGTTTTTGTATCGTTTCAGTGCTGACCTGGACTGTGTTTTTTCTATGCAGTGTCAACTATAGTGTCTGGTTGTTTATCTGTTCATGTTTGTGTTGTAATGCTTACTTATGTTTCTCTGTATAACTTGTGATTCAGGGCTGTTGTCAACAGTGTACAAGAACTGTGCCTCTACCAAGTCAGTGCAACTGTATACTATGGATGGTTAGACAGTATTTTTTTAAGTGTTCTGAAGTATATTGTGGGGTAAAAAGACTAACTAAGCCAGATATAAAATTTAAATACTTTTGCTTAACTCCGTGAATATATGTGTTATATTCATTTTTTTTAATGTGCATGATAAATGTAGAAAGGTGGTTCTAATATTTTCAGATTCTCATTTAGTAGAATGTTGAATGAGGAACCTTTCTTTTTATAATTTTATAAAGGTTGTTAAGTTTTGAGTTCATACTAACAGCTAAAATGAAAATCTAATGTTTTTATTTTAATTCTTTCCTATGAGATAAGAAAGAATTATTTCAAAAAATATATAGATATCCTTTATTTTCAATGCAGACTACTTAATTTTTAAGAGCTGTGTTAAATTATTAGCCTGAGTGCTATAAAAATGGGCCACTTATGTGCAATATTGACTCATTGTGAAGGTACTGAATGTATTTAAGTTCATTGAGAATTTATTTGATGGTTACGAAGTAGCTATCTGCTCTTGTACAAAATTAAAATATGTTTATACCAGAAATTCCTTATCTAAATAATGTATTTAAGCTACGTCAGTTTGATAGAGGAAGTCAAGAGGGCCATTCAATATTTCCTTTTCCAAATGCTAGGCTAGCCACTCTGCAGTTTGGATTTTCATTTCATTTTATTTTGTCTTTTAAAAATATATCTATATATATATAGTTCATGAGCTCAACATTTGGCTAAGGTTATAGCCAACCAATCAAGAAACAGGACAATGCTGTTATGTTATTATCAGTCCTTTTTAGCATAAGAAACACAATATTTTCAAAAATATGAACATATTATGGGTGATACACAAGGAGAAAGAGCTCTCAGGCTTAGATTGTCCTACTTGTCACTCAAGTATATGTAAATAACACAAGGTGACCTAAAGGGTTTTATTATTGTCGGATTTTCTTATAGCCATAAATGCTTATGATTGTCACATAACCAATGGCTATGCGTGTGATCTTACAAGCAATATCCAGACAGGCAATTAAACTGTTACCAAAAAAATATAGCCTGTAAACATTAAGGTGCACAACTCAAGCATACTGTAGAAGTAGCTGTGACCAATGGGAAGAAGTGTATTTCACCAGTCAGATTCTAATATTAAAGTAAATCATAGTCCTTAGGTTAATACAAACAAGTCTGGTTTATTGTGAAACAATGCCATGGTCTGATTTTATTTTCCTTTTCGACATTGCCAGCAAACAAATATAGTTCAGTTTCCACAGGGTTGATTTATTATTATTATTATTATTATTATTATTATTATTATTATTATTATTATTATAATAATAGCTGGTCAGCTGAGAATTTCAAGGTACTTTTAATGCCAATTTTGATGTTTTGAGGGTATGGCCATGTTTTCTGCCCATCTTTGGCTGTTACAGCTAAGAACATTCTGCCCATTTCTTTACAATCACCGTTTCTGGTTAGTGACCTCTTGATATTCACACCGGTAATTTTGATTGTGAAGAATGAGGGCATCCCCTTTTGGCATCAGGTTCTTCCCTTCCTTCCAAATTGCAGTCCAAGTGACCCAATCCAGCATCCCATCCTAGGGATGAAAAAAGGAACCTGCTGATTGAATGCCATTAATATCAAGCCATGAGTGTTCTTTTGCATGTAGTACTTTGAGTATTTACAGAGGCTTTTGTGCATTGTTTATGGGCACTATGTGTGTGTGTGCGCGTGTGTGTGTATGTGTGCGCGTGTGTGTGCGCATGTGGGCAGACTGCAGAGAAATGATTTGCATCCCCTGCAGTACGTATGTGTTTACTGCAAAAGGTCTTAGAAAGGCACACACCAGTACTGCCTACCACAGATTAAGAAGCAAATCAAGGTGTCTCTGCATGTTAGCATGCTTAGGTGCAATATTTGTGGGAAATAGGGAACTGATATTTTACACTATAGGATTAATGTCTGGGGAGTTGGTGTGTGTTTGGTTTTTTTCCTTTTCTTTTCTTTTTGTAAAAGCTTTTCAAATGATGATGATTATTGCCTTTTTGTACCAAACCAGCTGCAAGAAAGTGAGCAAATGCTGAAGTGTGATTGCAGTATATATTTTGTGAAATATCTTGTACAGCTTAATGTGCAATAAAAAAAGTTACATCTGTCTTCAGTGTATAGTTTCTGGCATGCAAGTTTCCAAATGGGGGAAAAAGTAATTTGTACTAAGAACAGCTAGCTAAGCAATCAAATGATGTCTGTCAAAAAACCAAGTTTTCTATCTAGAACAGAATGACCCAAATGCAAGGCTGTTGGAAACAAGAGTTTCCTGGCCGTGGAGTGGGGAAACATCTTGGGGGCTTCCATTTGTTTTGTATTAACCACTGCCCCGTACACACCGGCCAAACTGCCAGCAATCAGGGATTATGGAGGTGCTAGTCTAAAACATCTGGAGGACACCAGATGACTTGCCTCGTCAACTCTAATTATGCAACATGTCAATTTCAAGGTACATGGGGGCGGAGGGATTAGGATGATGCCTGCTGGCTCCATTGTGACCTGCAAACCTTCAGGAGAGCTTGGCCCTTTAACCTGAACTGCAGCTGAACTAAATCCAATCCAAGTAGTCTAGCTTAACAAGGATGCCATTACATCTGCAATTAGGTCTGATGCCTTAACAGAGGGATAGGAAGCAGCAGCCAAAGAGATGTGTGCGCGTGCTGTTTCCAAGCACCTGCAGTTCAGTCATGGGTCCGCTGTGCCCGTAATAAATTTGGTGCTGCCTTGAATTGATGTTGCTGCCTCTAAATGTGATTTGCTCCCTGATCATTCAGTCATTCATTATTTATTTATTTAAAATATTTTTACCCCATCTTTCTCCTTAAAAGCACCCCTTGTGTGATGCTTAGCTGAAGTAGTACCTGCTTCATATTTTAGAACACAGCCGTTGCCAAAAGGCTCCGTGAATAGCCATTGCGAGTGTATGTGAGCCTCTATGGCATTCTAAAAATAAATAAATAAAACCAACAAAGCACAGAGTGCTCAAATGTTTGAAGTACGTACAGCACGAAGATAATTAACTTGGACTAATACCATCATATGCAACAGTAATGGGTGGCCATGTGCTCTAAGTTTCTGTTTGAGGGTGTTTTCTGTCTGAAGGACTGTCCAGTCGCAAGCAAGGCTGATGAGAACCATAAGAAGGGAGAATAGTGGTGGTCTTAAAAGTTGTGCATCAACATTTAGCTGACAATGGCACTTGGACAGAGTCTCCTCCTCCACCACATGGTGGGAAGTACAGTTACAGTATTTATATTTGGGCAATTATTTATATATTTGCACTATGTACACATATACACAGAGAGAGACACACACATGTATTATTTAGCAGATGTAAATGATAGGCAAATCTAGCTGCTTTTGCCCTCTTTTTGGTGATGTTTTTTCTCTTTTATGAGGTTTTTAAAGGACCTGCCCTGCTAAATTATGCACAGGTTATAGTTGTGTACACAAAGCCATAATATTATGACCATATTGCTCCTCATTGTAACTTTACTGTATTCACTTTGTTGTGAAGCAATGTCTGAAAGGTTCTCTTCCCCCCCCCCATTTCAAATAATTTTAGAAAGGACATGGTGAAATGTTATAATTAATGTACAGTATCTTGGTTTAGATGTTTGGCCCTCCAGATGTTTTGGACTACAAGTCCTTCAGTTCATTAGCACTGACTCTCCTAGACGGGGCTGATATTAGTTGAAGGCCAAAACATCTGGAGGTCCCAAAGCTTCCCATCCCTGGGTTGAGGTGATTATTTCCCTCTTGGTCCAGAGGAGAAAGGAATGTGATTGCTAACATAACACATCTTCTCAGTAACACCTTTTGTTGAAAGTTTTCCAGTGACGGAGAGTTGTGCCTAGTGATAATGAGAACAAAAAGTTGGCTAAGTATCCTAAGACTGTACTTTATGGGTTCCAGGCTTATATTTTTAAGTGTTGGATATAGGAGTTAATACAAAATTACTGATACATTATGAAGTTTTTCTTGTACTGAACCTAGGGGGCCCAGTGCAACCCCAAGGAATGCAATCACAAAACCAGGAGCCATTGCAAGCACAGCGTGTGGTCCCTCCGGGACAGTCAGCAAAGCCCTCAAGTTCCCTGCCTCCACGTCCACCGGGCTCTGCGATTCAACAGCCACTTGCTAAGGCCCCAGGTCCTTCAACGGCTGGAACACCAAAGGACACAGAGACGGAGCCCACGTCAGTTCCACCACAGAAGCCTCAGCCACATCCACAGTTGAAGTAAGACCTTCATCTTATTTTCTATTGTGTTGCTTCTAGTTGCCAGTGATATTTTGGGTAGAACCTGCATATATCCCCTGCATTGAGGAAAAACAGTTTGGGATTTATTTCAGTTCCCCACCAACACCACTCTCGGTTTGATCAGGAATAGGAAAATCTCTAGCAAAGAAAGCATTTGCTGAAAAAGCAACATTTCATGCCATACATGCAGATTTCTCCTCATATGAGAGCAGATCTGGAGAATGTGTCATCCTCCTCACCCTTCTAAAAGACACTGACTCATTTTTGGTTGCGCTGTCTGTAAAACAGCTGCTGTGGGTAAAAAGGGAAGTCTTATCTACTCTAACTTTTAAACTTACAGCGACTCAGACATCAGCTTGCCAGTTTAAGAGACTGATCTGAAAGCCCATTAGATGTTTGTCATGTCTAAACGTAGGTACACCTATTCTGATTACACGAGACACACATTCCTTACATAGGGCTGAAAGTAATGAACCTAAATCCAGCCCTTGATGGAACTCGTGGTCTTCATATGCAATACATTAGATATAATTCGTTTTAGTTGCATCTTTGAATTTTATGGCATTCATAACATTTTTGCATTGCTGTAGATGGTTAAAGACACAGAAAAGGAGAAAATGCCTGTAACATAATTTTTCAGAAATCATTCATTTCTTTTCTTCACCACCTTCTCTTTCTGCCTTTTTTAGGGTTACTTAGTAGCATTTTAAAGGTTATCTTTAAATAAATATATTTACTTAAACTAAAAGGTTCCAAATTCACCAAAAAGCAATAATATAGAGGAAATGTACAAATGTAGAGCATTATACTAAAACCCTAACAATGTTAAGAATTCTTCAGTTACTTTTGAAAAATAATATTGTTAACCCCCCAAAAAAAGAACATATGTAAGATTGCTGATTATAAGGTGTTAATTCCAAACATGATAGTAGTTAGGACAGAAAAATCAGCTGATCAGTAGGTACCATAATGGAAGTTCTGATCTCTGAGCTTTGAGGGGGGTCCATGGAGGGACACAGATAGCCCTCCAAGCACCCTTTGCGAACTGTTAGCCAAACATAATTCCTTAATTACAAAAGCAAGGCTACAAGAATAAACAGTGGCATTCCAGTGGGTACACACTTAGAATTCTTTTTTTTTTCCTGCCATCAGATCACAAAATAAATTACTTGTTTATAATAAAATATGTATTCCACCACTAAATCATACACAAGGTGGCTGGCAGAAATAACAGCGAAGCAATCAAAAGCAGGAAAGTGACACAGCACCTTCAGCAGTAACAAACTAATGTGGCTGCTTAACCAGAAATAAAAGGCAGGTAATCAAAGTTGTTGCAGGCAAAAACAACAAACTAGCAAACACCAAATGGCTGCAACTTGAAGGCTGGTTATAAATTAGAGATTAATATTCACCTCTATTATTATTAACAAATAATTGTATGCTGCCTGTATATTTCCCCCACTGGGGAAGCTGTTTGCAGAGGATGGAGATTTTAAACAGAAAACAGCTCGGTGTGAAAAGGTTATGTCCCTGCATGTGATAGAATTGTTGACATTGAAACTTTCTGAGGAAAACAGGTACACTTCCCCCCCTCCATTTTTTATACCTTTCTTTGCAAGTGCAGTTCAAACTTCAGTTGCACAAATGTGACTTTCTCCTTTTTTTAAGTCTTTCTTTACATTCCTATCTTAAACATTTGTATCAGTGCTAGTCCCTGGACATCCAGCCTCATGTTATGGCTTGGGATGCTGTCCTCTCATTGTAACATTTTATGCCCTGCTATGGAACATCAGGAAGCCATTCCTTAATACTTGAAAGTTACATACTTATGGTGTGCCACTGGGCCTTTCCTGAAGAGCTGTACAGCTTGAGTCACAAGCTTAATCCAGTTCATATCTCAATTGTTAAAAAAAATTATTTCCCCCAAACCCAAACCAAATTGCCAATGGGATTAACTGTACTCGGTGTATTTGGCAAGGATGTGCCCTAGCACTCTCACCCACGTGCTGTTGCTTAACATGTGCACGCAGGTTATTCGCCTGTGAACAAATATTTAATTAGGCCATCTATTTTTGAGCTCCTAATCAAGTGAACTCCTGTTCTGCCTTTCCACCCGCTCCTTCCAGCGAATATTAAACCCAGGTACAATGGAAATGAAAGACTGAACACACATACAGCATAGCTTGCTCTGATTTTCAACAAAAGGTATGTGTTGAAAGCAAATGAGCAATGAATCGTTTCCTCATGCTGAGGCATAGTACGAGAAGCAGAAACCAGATAATAAGATAGCCTCGTAGCATTTTTCTTCTCCCTTAGGATTTAGCTGATAAATAAAGGAAACCAGTTCGTGCTACTTTGCACACAATTTGCTAGCTTGCATCCAAAAACTTATGTACGCCTCACTCCGTAATCCTAAAAGTGTTCACAAGAAGTCAGTCCCATTGGTAACACTGGGACCTTGGTCTAAGCCAGGCTGAACTATCCTGTGACCCCCCCAAAGACCTGAGCTCCATCCCAAACTCCTTTTCAAAAAAAAGTTTTAAAAAAACCCTACAGGAATCACATTTTAAATGAGTCTTAAGGCTTCTCTGCCTTTTTTAAAACACTAAAAAGTGGACTTCCAAACTTTTGGCGCCTTTTTGGTGGCCTGTTCTTCTCCCAGAGGTTTCTGAGGTAGAAAATTAACCCCCAGACTTGCCAAAGTTGCCTGGCCCTTTTAAGTTACCATATTTGTAATTGCACAAGACTTTCCATTGGAATCAATGTCTGTTTTATTAAAAAACAAAACACACTCAGTTCCGTTGTCCACATGTTTGCATCCTTTTCAGGGACTGTATCTGATTGAAATTAATGGAGCAAATAAATGCTGCTAGTTAGGCTTAAGTTGCAAATCCCATTCACTTCAGTGTCCCTTGGTCCAAAATGAATTCAATCCAGATAGATGTCTCTGAGGTTCAGCTGTGCAACCGATTACATCCTTGGTAAAGTTGTCCAGTAAACTTACACACTGCTCAAAAGATGAATCCAGATGATGATCATCAATGTCAGAGCTAGTAATGATGGGCATCTATTAAGAAAAGGGAGTTTGGGCTAGAAAGAAGGCTAGCTAATATACCTTCACCCCATTATGTTATATTCAAGATGAAATCTTGAAGGATAGCTTCATTAGTATTTGTGTAGAAACTTCAAATGTGCTAACAGATGTGTGGATTTTCTTAAATCTTTTTTTCCCTTGCAGCAAATCACAATCTCTAACCAATGCCTTCAACTTCACGGAGTCATCATTCTTTCGATCCTCTGTGAATGAGGATGAAGCAAAAGCCGAAACCATCCGAAACTTGAGGAAATCCTTTGCCAGCCTCTTTTCAGATTAGCCATGCAGAGTTTAGTTGTGTGCCCTTGTAATGTGTCTGGAAGTCTACTGTGAACATTGTTTCGCAAACGATCTCCCTGTGAATGATCCTCATTTGCTTTTCCAATGTTGTATTAAGCAATATGTTAAGGTCTTTTTCAAAAAGGGACTATAATGAGGTATATATTTCAGGTATTTTTTTAAAAAGCTACTAGAAAAAAGCCAAGAGGAAATAGCTATACAGCATAATGCTTAAAGTCCTCGTCAACTGTGATATCGTGGCCTTACCATTAAATGCGCTAGGTCCTCACATTAGGCTTACTAACCATGATGTAATCTTTGTGTGATCATCACAAGAAACACGTATAATTCAGTTTTGACCATATGATAATTCTCTCCAGTGTTCAGCTCACTGCATGTTTGTTTGTTGATTTAAAGCGTTTTGTTTCAACCTGCTTTCTTGTCTGCAGACCTTCAGGATGTAACTTCACATTGCTGTTTTCTTGTTAATTCACTCTCAGCTTGAGAGAAACTAAGGCCATTTTGTTTCCTTTAGCAGGCTTGTCATCGGTTCTAGGTCGTGTTCAAAGATGCCAAGAGCAAACCCCTGGTTAACCCATGTTACAGAGCTATGTGTGTCTATATTACCTTGACCCTTCGTGTTGGTTGTACAATTGTTTGCGAGTTCTCAGCAGCGACGTTCAATTCAAGTTCCGTGCATGACTTCATGTTAACCGTAGTTCCATGTAACCTTCTAATAAATGCAAAGTTGTATTCACAGCAGCCAGTATTTATCTGCTGGACTTGTCTGTGCGGTTGTACTGATTTCTCTAACAAAAAGGTTATGTGAGATCTAATTTCTATAATTTAAAATGAGTCAGCAAAAAAAAAAAACCCAGGAAAAAAGTAGATTTAGTACACTAAATATCTGACATAAATCAAGTGCTTTGTCAAATACAGCCTTAAAAATACATGTCTTTCTCCACAGATAATGCAATATATTTTACACAGCAGATTAACATCAGATCATAGGTGCTATGACAACGTATAGTCTAAAGAATTATACTTACATACAGTACTTCTCTTTTGCCTTCAAACAACCAGAGGTGGCCAGTATTCTCACATGCCTGGGGTTTATGTTCTCCAAGTTATGTAGGATTTTTTTTACAAACGGCTTTCTATAGAGAGCACAGATGAAACTGGTTTTACATTATATGGCTAGCTTATATCTTGTCATGCTAAACACAGGTTATTTATAACCCCTCCACCTGGGACTTAATTGAGTACTTGAGAATATAAGAGTGGGCAATTGTTTAGCACAGTGGTTCCCAAGTTTGGTAACCCAGGTGTTCTTGGACTGCAATTCCCAGAAGCCTTTACTACCAACTATGCTGGGTGAGATTTCCAAGGGTTACCCAGAGTTGGGAATCAGTGGTCTAGCAGTTAGTAGTCCATAAAAGGCTACTGAGCTACATATAAAATCTTCTGGAAGGTCATATAAGAGCTTTTGGAATAACCCTCAGGTATTCATTTCCTAGCATTTTTTTCTCCACAAGCATTCCCTAGGGAAATGGCCGAATGAAGCTATAGCCCACGTCTGTAATTGTGTGTGTGGGGGGGGGAATACAATTGGCACAGTTAGATTAGAGAGAGAGAGAGAGAGAGAGAGAGAGAGAGATCATTTCGTTTAGTCATGTCCGACTCTTTGTGACCCCATGGACCAGAGCACGCCAGGCCCTCCTATCTTCCACTGCCTCCCGGAGTTGTGTCAGGTTCATGTTGGTTGCTTCGCAGACACTGTCCAGCCATCTCATCCTCGGTCGTCCCCTTCTCCTCTTGCCTTCACACCTTCCCAGCATCAGCATCTTTTCCAGGGAGTCTTTTCTTCTCATTAGATGGCCAAAGTACTGGAGCCTCAGCTTCAGGATCTGTCCTTCCAGTGAGCACTCAGGGTTAATTTCCTTTAGATATAGATAGATATAGATATTTATATACTGTAAGTTTCTAAGTCATAGATGCACATGTTCAGGGATAATACTGGTGAATAATAGTGTGTGAAAATTATGAGATATACTAAAAATACTATTTTTTATGCTTGTGCATAAAAAATCTGCTATAGAACGTCAAAAGTAGCCTATTCTTTACATAGATATCATATTGCACTAAAAGGAGAGCCTGTTGTGACCTCAAAACCTACTTATAATTTGCAATATTTTCCCTCCTCCACCAAAGACATGACTCAGAATACCCTCCTTTTTGCCTGTATCACTACTGGAGTGAACACAGCAGTGGAGCTTCCTGCCACTGCTCAAAGGAGGACCTCAACAACATATTTCAACATTAGACGCTACCCTTCCTCGACTTGCAAAAGGAGAGACCAGCAATATCCTGTGGCCCCTGGGATGATCTCACAAGCTGAAGGCACATTTCCTATTTTTAATTTTGCCAGAAGATTTATAGCCCACCTTTCTGTTTATAATGCCCCCAAAGCAGCTAACTAACAAATGTAAAACAGTAAAAGAAGGTGTAATACTGCATTCAATGTCTACTGAATTGCTGTTTTAAAGAATATTAGGACTTACAGGAATAATTTTAAAGTTCTTTTAGTATGCCAGTTCAATATTAGGCAAGATCATTTTCTTATATAAAATATTCAGCAAGAGAATTCTGGGAAAATCCTGTGATCGAACTGTTACTAGTCTGCACACAATCTATCCATCAAACACTCCCACGAGATTACTTTAAGAGGGGATGATCTTAAACAAGTGTCTAGAGGCAGTTTGGGGGTGGAAATACTTTTGATGGGAAGACCACTGATCTAAAACAGATTGCACAGTGGAGTTGGGCAATCTGTTTTAGATGTGATTACATAGACCCTACAGAAAGGGACGTGGTGGTGCTGCATGTCAAACCACAGAAGCCTCCATGCTGCACGGTCAGAAGACCAGCAGTCGTAAGATCGAATCCACGTGATGGACTGAGCTCCCGTCCTGCCAACCTAGCAGTTTGAAAGCATGTAAATGCAAGTAGATAAATAGGTACCACCATGGTAGGAAGGTAATGTCTAGTCGCACTGGCCACGTGACCACAGAAACTGTCTACAGACAAACGCTGGCTCTACAGCTTGGAGACTGGGATGAGCACCGCGCCCTAGAGTTGGACATGACTGACTAAATGTCAAGGGGAACCTTTACCTTACAAAATCAGGTGCATAGCCTGGAGATACTCTGACATCCCCCTATTCTCCATGGAGGCAGGACTTTAGCAGCTTAGGTTGGTTTACCAATTGTGACTATTTCTAGAGAAATGAGGCCTAACTTCCACTACACACACAGCCTGCTTATGCCCACTCCCAGACTGGACAAAGATGCTGTGTAGCCCTGCATTTATATATATGTGGCGAAGCCAAAATGTTTTGCTTAAATACTACTATTTGCAATTCACTCATATATATATTTATATGAGTGACTTCCTTCAGTTACTCTGATAAAAGTCATATATATTTATATTTTGTTTCAATTAAGACACTTAATTATAGAAGTACTGTTAAGAATACCAAATTCTAAAAAGTAACCAGTTCAACAAGGGTGTTATACTCCATATTTTACTCACGTTCATATGCTAGCTAAATACAACAATGTAAATTAGTTCAAGAATTGATATATTACTATTAACAGCAAAAAAAACCTCTGTATTAAAGACACAATTTAAAAAGACATCAATCAAGCTGACAAATTCCAGGGACAGAGGTTTTTCAGTAATAGGAACTACTGCTTTTAAGAAGTAACTCTCAATATTTTTTATAAAATGTTAAGCTTTTCTTTTTCTCCCTACTTAATGTTTAAATAGGTTTGCAGATGGTTTTAGTCTCTCTTTTTAAAAAAAAATATTTGTTCAATTGTGATTTTTTTTCAATCTTTTCTATTGTATGTTGCCTTGGTAGGGTTTACCCTAAAAGGATAAGTAAACATACATTAATTCAACAAGCGCTCCACACTCCCCTATGACAGTGATAGCTGTGGAATTACTTTATCATGTATGAAATGGCCATGAATAATAGTTTGCAACTGAGTAACCACTGCAAGCAGTCTCCTATCTTAGCAGGAAGGCTATCAGAAGGTGGGGCTTCTGGGTGATATTAAATCCTGTGCCTCCCTTTTTACAAATAACAGTATTGTACAGCAAAGCTAAAAAGTGGAAAGCTACATCACTTACTTACAGAAGCAAAGTTACTTGGGATTGCCTTCCAGTGAGTGAAGGAGTCAGAAGATTGGAGGGAGTGGGCTAGCTGTCCTCTAAGCTCACAAAAATGTCCACTTTGAGGATCAGGCCTAATGGACCTTAGCTGAGGAGGCAGCCGTTAGGCTGATTTGAGAAGGGAATAGCTGGAGGACCAGGAGAGAAAAAAAGGACTGTTCTCCTTACCTTGAGGAGCTTCTGTCCATCAGGAAGAATCTAGTTTTCCAAGCATTTACAGCATAGGTATTAGCTGTCACTGTCACATTACCACTCACGACAAGCTAACTACAGCCCTCATTGGATGCTGAAAATTTAAACAAGTTTCAGGGGAAGCAAGATGTGCTCTCCAGCCAATCCTTCTACTTTAGAATCCTCTTGTGCTGAACAGTATGCATGAAAATAGATCCACATTTGCCTGAGCATGGCTACACGCTGCTCCGTGACATCTGGAATCTGGACAAGGCAGGACTTCCAGGGGCATGATTACACTTTCATTACAGCCTTCTCACACCAAGACAGGGAGCTTTGGTGGTAGAGGGGGTAGAGCTGTGCCCCCTCCCCTTCACACTTCCAATTGTGGAACATCCAAATATTTGGGTGCACACGTTCTGTATAACTAAGCTGTCTTCTTTGAAAAAAAGAAAGAAAAGAATGTTTTAAGCTTTTCCTAATCACTGAAAGAGAAAACAATAGACAGAGTTGCTGCTTCAAATAAAGGGGAAAGGAAAGAAGAAGGAATCAATCCTTTCAAATTAGTTTAAATGCTGTTGCATTGATTGAAAAGAGATGTATTGGTTTTTTCTACCTCCTCAGCTGGAGCATGATATTCGGAATCAGGGCTGTCAGAAAGCTCTTGTGTAGTATTTATACTTTGCAATAATACCTCCATTTTGAGATCTTTGTCATTACGCCTTTTGCTCATTACATCTCTGCAGTGGCAGCAACCTGAGTAAGGGCAATGGGGGGGATGAAGAAGCAAAAGGCTTAAAACTATGCAGTTCAAGAACATTCTGTCTGCTGCTCGGCACAGGAGCCCCTTATGTGTAAGTAAGATGGCCACTCCAAGAACCTGATCAGGGGCCTGTCCTTTCTCTAGGTTAGAAACCTACAGATTCTACATTATTGTCTTCCACTTGGTATACCAGATCAAAAAAACAAACAAACCCAAAATCGTAAACAAAAACATTGTGGCACCTAAGACTAATGTATCTTTTAATGTGAACATCTGTGTACAGTATTGGAAGGTGCCACATATTTTTGCTTTTTATTGCTTTCTTTCTTTCTTTCCTTCTTTCTTTCTTTCTTTCTTTCTTTCTTTTTGTCTGATATACTTACAATGACCAGCACCACTACTTCTTCAAAAACTTCCACTGGGTAATAAATCATGATCCTGTTGGGATGATGCATGAGACCTGCATGCATCATACATTTTAGTCCATATGAATCACGACTTCACCTGAACTGGTCATATGAATGGGCTCTTTATGATTGCAAAAATAATGCATACATTTCCATCACACTTTGTTGTGTGCTTCGAACACT